TTTTAAAAATTCAATATGCAGTCGATTACGGGCATCTTAGTACTACTGCTGATGCCTTCATTTGGTGGCATTTTGGTGGGCAATTTTGTTTCGCCGTCACTTGTTTTCTGCATTCTTCGCACTGCGATCAGTCATTTATTCGCGTGTCGTTGATACAATACGTACTGCTTTACTAAAGCTGGGATTGATTTATAGTTCAGTGTGTTAAACGAAGGAAATACGGTACGTACATATTATTTAAGTGTTATAAGTTCGGATATTTTGCATTAACAAAAGGTTGCAATTTTTCCCGCCTTTTCTTCTTCAGACCTTTTCCAAATTTTACAATAATTACTCCTTATAAGCAGATATGGCCTCACACAGCAACAGTGTTTCTAGTGATGATTCTGACGTGCCACTCGCAGAAATTTTAACAAAACGCCCTAGGATTGCACGAGGAAACCTTTCTGAATATTCTTCAGACAGTTCAGATGAAATCATACCTTTTCATTGCCTTTCCACACGCAGCACTCGCATTTTATCCAGTAGTGAAGACGAAGATACTGAACCTTCTATAAACAATATGACTACTTCGCATATAGATTGGGCTGATCCCATCGGAAACCAACCGCGCCTTACGCCTTTCGTTGGTACACCTGGTTTCAAAACATGCAATCAAACTTACGAAAAACCGGAAGATATTTATTTTTTGTTTATGAGTGATGAATTCTTCGATCTTGTCGTTTCAGAAACGAATCGGTATGCGCAACAATGTCTATCTAAACAAACATCGTATCGATTAGATGAATGGATAGCAACAGACAAAAACGAGATAAAACGGTTTTTTGGACTTATTATGTGGATGGGAATTGTAAAGCTTCCAGAAATAAGTTTGTATTGGTCTAAAGATCCAGCATATTCGCAGACTCTTCCACCTTCAATAATGTCAAGAAATCGGTTTGAACTTTTGCTACGAATGTTGCATTTTAACAACAATGACAAGGAAAATGTAAATGACCGCTTGTATAAAATTAAACCAGTCATTGATATGTTGAATGAAAACTTTGAAAAATATTTTGAACCAGGCGAAATTGTTTGCGTAGACGAATCTCTGATTCCTTTTCGAGGTCGCATTGTCTTCAAACAATATATAAAACAAAAAAGA